TACCTCTTAGTTTGTTGATTTCTTAAAAATCCTTTACATTCTTCCACTGGTTAGCTTTTCCTTTTTATTTTTCACTGATTAGCTTGTAAATCTTTCTGTGTAGGTTGTCACTTGTGGAAGCATTCCTCTTGAATCTTCTTTCCAGAGGATACCAAGATGTGTATTTGTTTCCACAGAATTGTATGAATACAGGGGATGCGGTGGAAAACCAGCAAAACCCAGACATGCTTTCTTCTCCTGGGGATGCAGGCATTCAGAGGTCAGTTTTTGAACTTGTGGATCCCTATTGAGATTTTATTTGCAAATCTGTAGATTGCCAGCAGCATTTTTCCATACACCCAACCATGAGAACCTAAATTTTGAGTAGTAAACATGATCCTATTTTTAGATGTTACTGCTTTGAATACACAATTGTTGTGCTGATGACAATGCTAGTCTACTAGACTTCAGAAAGCACTTTCGGGGGTCCTGTTGTAACCATTCTACATTCTATGCAGATCAACAGTGGTGTCGTGGCACCTCCACATTTTGCAAATTTTAGTCATTCATTCCAGTGGATTCCATGTGTTGGACCTGTTGGTTTTAGTCTAGATGAAATGTAAATGCTTTGAATGCTGATGTAGATATCTTGAATGTTTTTTATGGGTTTTAAAATGTAGCTTACTGCTAGGCCTTTATCCAAGTTTTGAATCTTTTGCAAGGACAAATTGCTCTCTGTGCTAATTTATGCATTATTTCCTTCTGTCAACAGAAGAATGTGGCAGATTTCTATATATCAGACTTTCAGACTGGTTTGAGAGCTCTAGTGAAAGCAGGCTATGGAGCTAAGGTTGCTCCATTTGTTAAGCCAACTACAGTTGTCAATGTGTCAAAGGATAACAAAGAGCTATCCCCAAACTTTCTACGCTGGCTTGCTGATCGAAGTCTATCAAGTGATGACCGTACAATGCTCCTGAAAGAAGGGTAAACTACTGACTATAGTACGGAATAATTTTTACACGTATTTGATGATTCAAATAGTGGCACGACATCTTTTGGACTTCTGTTGTCCAACTACGAAATGGGTTGTGAAATCTAAAAATTAATCAGTAGTAAAAGACGGTGTTTTTATCCTGGTAATTTGACCAAATTCTGGAATTTTGTCCACTGAACGTAATGCAGGAAATTCAGTTCTGACTTGACAATATGAAATTATTCTCAGGACTTCATTTTGGCAAGAAGCTAGGAAACCACAACTATAGCTTTTCCACACTCGAAAGTCATAAAATTTCAGATTTCAGTGTCATGCATGGTATGAACTGAAATCGTGAAATTTTGAATTGTTTACCTATAGAAAAGCAGTACCTAAAGTGTTCGAGAATTGGAATTGCTATATACTTGTTTCTTTACCTTCTTGAAAATATCAAACAATCCCAGGACTGTAA